CTCCCTGGCTCCAATCTAATTTGAACATATATATTTCTAATTTAAGTAAGGCAGAAGCACAAATTGAGCATCTGAAATTTCTCACTTCAATCCCATTGAGCTCAACAATTATCTATACAGATGGATCATTTGAGAAGACAAAAGGGAGCGGCATTGGATTTACAGTCTACTCACCTTACACCAGACAAATGAAAGGTTATTCTTATAGCCTTGGCCAAGAAGTAGGAATAGTAGATGCTGAAAGGTACTGCATATTACGAGCACTTGAACAGATTAAAAATCAACCATCTTCATCTTGCTTTGTTTTTTCAGACAGCCAAGCTGCATTAAATAGATTCAAAAACTCTTCAAATTGGTTATCACATAAGATTAGATCCATAAATCAGCCTGCAAAGATCGAGCTTCACTGGTGTCCAGGTCATGAAGGCATTAAAGGCAATGAGCTTGCAGATAACCTTGCAAAAATGGGAGTTGAAAAAAGGACCAGACCAAGGGATAAATTTATCACTCATAGCTTTCTTAAACAAAAAGTGCAGCAGCACATCATAAATTCTTAGCACAAACATTGGGACTCGGAAATTATCAGAGAAGAGGAAGGAAAGAAAGAAAGCTAGAGGTCTTGGAAAATATTATAGAATACAGGCAAGAGAGCAGACACCAAATTTCAGCATGAAACCTATCAATTTAGAAGCTTAAAGCCGAGCAACTCAGTCAGCATATTTTCAAGTCAGATTTGGAATTGGAAACATTCCGACACACCTCCAAAAAATTAGAAAAGCAGACAGTAACATTTGTAATTTCTATTGCAAAGAGAAGCAAACCTGCCACCACCTTATATTTCAGTGCCCAAAATTCGAAGCCCAAAGAAAAAAAGAGCTCTCAGATATTGTGCCACGCAGCCTCAGTTTGCTATTAAATACCAAGGGTAGGAGAGAAAAGCTATTAAAATTTATTAAATCAAGTAACTATATTAATTTAGCAAAAATAGGGGACAGCTTAATTTCATGTAGGAATACACAAGAGGGTGTGCCTAGAATGAAGTAATATAATTTGCACAAATGGATATAAAATAAATAAAATATTTGAGAAAAATGTACCTGATGAAGGACAGTTGTAATTTAGAATATTTAATTAGATAGAAGTGTCATAGCCCTAGAGCTGCATACACAATGAAAAAAAAATCAAGGGTGGAGTAAGGAGGAGGCTAGGAAGTTTGAGAGACGCTCTTAGGTATACACAGGTCTGCTGCGCCAGGCTAGCCAACCTCTTCGTCATATGAGAGCCCCGCACTCAGTGGTTTTTGAGACTTTTCCATGCAGCTACACAGCCGCAAATGGCCATCGCTTCGTAGGCTGGAGATGGGAGATAATGACGGGATAACGGCTCTTCTTAGTGTGTACTCGAATGAAGACCTGTGGGGGTATTACTGCTGGAAAGAGGTCGTGAAGGAGGCATAGGAGGGAGTACACTACCCGAGGCATAGATACTCCTGGCCTGTAAGCAGAAAGGACCTACAAGTCCTTCTATAGTTATAGACTCATTAGGACCATAAACACTCACTCACTTACTCACTCACAGAACCACCACACTTATATTTCTAATTACATTTAACAGGTAATATATTCTCAATAATCGTATATTAGTTTTATATTTATTTGTGCCGATTAAATTTCTCCATCTAGGGTCATCCTCTTTAGTTTTCCGACATGAAATTCAACTCTCTCTTAATTTTGGTTAATCTATGCAATTACTTGATCTAGTAATTGTTACAGGCTGTAGTCTTGTATGTGGATCCGGAACTATCTATTTATTTATTTATATTAACGTCGTGCCTGCGCATAACACAGTGCTTTAAAGCCCCATGCCGGTTAGCTCAGCCTATAAAGGGCTACCCGACGCACCGGCATTCCCATAACAAAAACCCGATAAAGACCCCACTACTCCCGGTCCGCATAGTCGCCAGATCAGTGAGACTCTTCTTAAGTTGATATAAATTATATAATTAAAAGCGGAACTTAAACTACATGTGGATATTCGTATTTAGATAGCGTTGATGTCTAAGTAATCAGGGCTGTCCTACAAATGTAGGTGCAAACAGAGCTTCCCCCATTAATGGTACCTTTGAAACTCTTCGAAAAAATAGAGTGGACTTAAGCCAGTCTCGGAACAAGATAGCTCCTTTTGGTGAGCTTAAAATCCAGTGAGCGTCTGGGGGACGGGGGCGATTGGCTCCACGAAGCCGCGCCTGTAGTAGGCCATGTTGACAGGTCATGAAATGCTCCGGCGATTTATCATGTCCACAGGAGCATGCTAAAGGTGCGCTGTTGAGTGCGAAGGATCCGGAACTATCCGGCTCCGTCTATGAACAAAAGCGCGCTAGTGTCACGGGACAACGCGCTCGATTGGAACAAAACATCTTGCATGCGCGTCGTAAATATTCTCCTCCTAAGATAAAATATAAATTCATTTCTGGGCCCATAATTGTGAACAACAAATGTGAAGTCCCTTCACTGTAATTTTAGCAACTTTTGTCTCTCACCCTGGTTGTTTTATAAAAAGCTGAGGCTTCGGGCACAACATTTGAGAATTCTTTATTTGTGCTCTGAATTTAAGACATTGACATAATAAATGATCCGAATCTACATCTATGTTTCACATGTTTCACATGTATTACAAATTATAATTTTCTTCGATTCCTTCACTTTTCCACGTGTGTGGCAAAGCTGTGATCCAAAAACGTACATGAACAGAGTGGGACTCGAACCCACGCCACTTTCGTGACCAGGATGTATACTCCTTAACCTGGCGCCATAACCAGCTCGGCCATCTGTCCTTGTTTTGTATACTATATTATACTTAAATTCCAATAAATTGGCGCTGTCAACACTCCATAATCTTGATGAATGGGACAGGCCCTTTTTCTCTTAGCATCAGATTTTAATTGCGTATGCGGCTATATAGATATGATACAATATCAAAAAAAAGTACAGAAAATATGACTCAATTTACATTAGGAGCACTCATGCCTCGGATTTCATTTACAAGTACGATTGCGAAGTTATGGTGCCTTTTTCTTCACACCAAGTCAACCCTCATCCGTGAATACCCACTCAGGGGAACGTCTCAAAAACCCTGAGTTATCCAGACATGCCTCCGTCATCCATCAAGTTTTCTCCGCGCGAAATGTAATCTGAGATATCTCCTTCCCAAGTGGAGTAGGTGCCCAGGCTACTCAAACTATACTAGAGAACACCACCAGGAGGCGGACCACAACACCTTCCATCGTCGGCTTGTTTTTATAGTGTTAGCTAGACTCTCACAAGCGAATTCTTGGCGCGCACAAAGCCCAATTCGTAAAACCCCTTGTCGAAATTTGGAATTTCACTCCCTTCAAGATTATATCCTTCCTTTGCATCATCTTGTAAACTTGTCCTGATCCCTCTCACGTCCATCCAAAAGAACTGTCCCCCAGATTTGTGCGCCACGCTTTGCTTCCTCCGTCGAGAATAAATATCGGCGTGGGCGTGTATTTGGTGACCGGCTGAGGCCAGAGAAGGTAGAAGAGAGGTGTGGTCATTGAGATCAGGATGTACTAGTGTTACGGTTTGACTGTTGTTTGAGCTTAGGTGGATACCTAAGCCTGATACTAAGAATCCTTACGATAAGGCTGTATGGGGGTGGAGATGAAGCTGAACGAAACGGCACTACTACTCAGGAGGCTGAAGCGTCATTACAACTTAGTGACACCTGGAAATACGTGGCTGGGTAAGAAGTATTGTGCCTAAGGACAAGTCACTAGTCTGTAGATTCACGAGGAGGATAAACTCTTATAAATACCTGTTAGAAGTAGCTAGAGTTAGCTTTTCTCCTCATACAGTTTATTAAATCGATTTATTCATCACCAACTCGGTTTCCGTCACAACTAGGTGAAATGGGTTGAGGGAATTCAGAAGTACTTGAAGTCGTTAACGCAATGGAAATAAATAATTTTTCCTTGGGAAAGCTAAACAACCGTATCGTATCATGTCCTTTATGTCTTCCGTGTACGCTAGTATTAATTCCCCCCTTTAGCCATATGAGAATTAATCCTTTCTCCCTGGCTCTCTTCTCCTGTATCGTACTCCCCCATCTGGTACGTACCCCCTTCAATACCCCCTTAAAGTCCCCTTTCGTCTATCCGGGAGCGTTGCTTTGCTATTACCTTACCTTGGAGACGGAGTGGTCCTAGTGACCAGTCCCAATCTGGGCAAAGCCCGTCACACTAGGTCCTAGTTGTAGACTTGATGAGACTTAGGTCGGAGTCCAAATTGTTGGGAACGAAAAAACGACGTGGTGGAGTAATTTGAATCATTGCCTCGTGTGCCAACTTCTTTGAGATGGCGAAATTCGAAAGAACTTGGCTCTGGGAGAATATTTCATTCCCAGGTTCGTAGAGTATACCGCGTACATGTGTTCAGTCTTGCCCTCCTGGGTCAGGCCCGGTGAGCAGCAAAGACCAGCTAATCTCACGATCTATTTATTAAACGAAAACGTAAACCAGAACTAGTTGTAGTGGAGAGGCATGAAGTTTTTATTTATTTATAATACTTAACGTCGTGCCTGTGGATCCAGAAGATTCGGATCATAGTACCCCCGTGTAAGGTTCGGAATAACTATTGCACACACACCACCTCTGTAGAGTAGTAGCTTTTAGATACACAGAACACATATCATACAGATCACAACAGACCTTTACATACAGATATACATGTACATTAAGGGCCTAGTGATATTGGTATTCAAGACGCACAAATAATTATTTTTATCCTACTATTTGTATATTGTCAAGCTATACAAATTATAAAGCATACGATATGGCTAGTCACGGCGGCAACGAGTACTCTGCTCCTGACGGAGAACGCGACTCTCTTAAAAAGGTTCGCGGGTCGATGGAGAAAATGGATGAAAATTACCAGGTACTCAGCAAGAAAGTAAACGACAATCATGATGAGATTAAGGACATGATTGTCAATTTGACGAAACAAGTGGCACAGTTAGCAAAGTTAAAGGACGTTGAGGTCGCTGTGGAGGAAGAAAAGACATCGACAACTCCTACGTCACAGGTGGTTTTACCCCCATTCCTTGCCAAGCCACCTCACTCTGAGCATCACCCTGCTAACCCTCTCCGTTATTCTGACGGTCAACTTAATCTTCACAAGATTCACCGCGTCTGCTATGCTGACGACCGTGAGAAAGCTATCCATGGAATTTGGTCAGCCGTGGTACTACCATCTCAGATAGACGAAAGAGCCGAACATTCAGCCAAAAATAAGGTCGTCATCCCACAAGCACTTGGAATACACAGAGCCGACGAGAAGATATTTGAAAAGCTTGAGGCCATTCAGATAAACCTTCAAACAGCTCTTGTTCCTTACCACCTTTGGGCGGCTCGAGTATCTCTCGAACTCGATGGAGATTTCAAGCACGTAGCAATTTGGGCTCAGGCTCATTCACCATCTTGGGTCCTTTTCGCCGAAGCAATTATTACTGTCCTTCGGTCTCACAAAAAACTAGATGCTACAATAACGTTATTCTCTTCAATGTTGCCAGGAAAGGAAGAGTCTTACATCGGATTTGCTTGGAGGCTTCGTCAAGCATTCTATCGATTGCCACCATTTCAGCAAGACACATCTTCGATCCGCAGCATCCTCATCAGCAAAATTCAACAATATATGTCTCGTGTCTGGTCTTCCATGCAAGATGTGCATCACTCTTACACGGGGGTGATATGATCCGAATCTTCTGGATCCACATGCCCGCGCACAGCACGTGAGCTCCTCACGTACCGGTTAGCCCAGTCTAAATGAAATGTGATGGCTTGTGAGCCGATAAGTCCTGTAGTCTTCGATGGCTATCGAAGGCAACCTATATTCTCTATCACTCCGAGGATTATCAGCAGACGAAAACTGATACGAGATCGCCACTGAGGCTACGTAAAGGATAGTGCCAAGAGCATCGGAAGCGTTACCCGTGTGGCAGAACAAACCTTATATCAGTTTTGTTGCCACTGTAAGTGTAGGCTAGATTTAGATACCTCTGGATGTGTATAAGTAGTAGAGTAGACTTGCAGGTAGTTTGCTTCTACATAGATGAATTATAGCTTTACCTTTCAATCATACAAATGCCCATTCGCTTTCTATATTCGAACTGTGATCTTAAACTACCCGACGTGTTGGCGCACACATAGACCCACCAAAGCAAACAATAGCTAGGATTTTGTCATCCCACGCTCGAAGATTATAGTGTACATGAAGGTCGTCCGTCCAACGAATCTCATGCTATGCCGTTGGTACTAAATCAATAAAAGATTTTACAAAACAAAATGAAAAATAAAAGGAGAAGATTGTTTACATCAGATCGTGATTTCGTGGGCATGACGTTTTATTGTGTTACTATCTAACATTAAGTACATGGTATCACGTGATATATAGAACCCACTACACTAGTTCTACCAAGATGGGCGTATCAACGTCTTTTTGCAGTTCTAACTGGTCATGGAAACTTCCAAAATTATCATGAGAGGTTTTATCACGAAAGAATAGTCTATCGACGCATATGTGGCTGTGAAAGATGTCTATGGCATTACTCGGAATGCAGGCTAGCACTACAACGCTTGCGAAGTTCAACGCATGAAACAGCCCCCAATGGCAGGGCACTGTCGGGACAGAAAGGATGGGAGGAATTTTTTTAGATTTCTGGCCGTGACGAGATGCTACGCTACGGCCGAATACAAGATGAATTTCAAAAAAAAAAGATGCTACGCTGGACAAAAATAGACTGGAATATCACATGATGCCCGGGAAACATGCATCGCAGGTAAGCTGTTATAAGAAATCTGATTCACTTCCATCACGCCGACCCTATACCGCGCATACTATCCCTTACAAACCAATTAAAGCATCTTTTGATTTGGTCATCGCACTCGTGATGGACAAATCACAACAGCCTCCCCATTTAGCCCAGCGCGTCGCTAATGAGCTCGAGCTTGTGCAATGCGTTGCAAAAGGTCGAACTAAATGGATCAAAACTTCCACACCAAGCTTTGGACAACCGATGAAGCTGAACCTTTCATCAAATTCTTTGTCCGCGAGCAAAGGACGCCTTTCTTTTCGTGGTTGCCTCCGGGCACCCTGTGCAGGAAGACACCCCGAGACAGCCCAAGCTGGCGAGCTCTATACCCAAGCCCAGCCAAAAAATCCCCTCACGGACTCGTGCTTCCATTTCAAATCAACCTTATAACCGGGTAGCGACCACCGCAGGCCCACCCGCTTCTGTTCCCTCAATCCTGGCCCGACCTATCTACAACAATCGAAACCCTCGCACAATTATGCAAAAGCCCACCGCAAAATCTAGGCGCCCTGGAGTAATCTTCCGCTTGACTGAAGGAGTCTCTCTCTTTAGAGAAACTGTTACAGCTGTCAAAGCTACTCCCATAAAAAATTTACCGTCCTCAAGAACGGTATCGCTTTCGTTTCCCGCACCTCAAGCGGATTCAGCATGCCCTTTTTGTCCGGAAACTTGCTGAAACTTTCAATGGGACACATCTACTCTATCAAGGTCTCTCTCAGGAACTTTCGTCGAACAGATTACGCTAAACTTAAATATAGTATCACGATGTTTAAGTTGAGTAGTTTACAAACGAGTATACAAGGCTGATTTACCACGGGCAATAATTTAGTCTTGCAAATGTTACAATCAGCGACTAGACGGATAGCCAATTTCCAACGCATAACCTCCTTATTGTCTCATTAATTCTATTGCCCACGATAATGTCACAGCCAATTTTAGAACCATGTATAGAACCGAGATTTGAGCAGTTCGCACGGATAATCTAGCAGTCAGCCTATTGTCACGAAATAAGACGATGTCCTTATTGATAGACAGATTGATCACGAAGCTACAAGAAGTCCAAGAGGACCATTCTACTTATTGTACCTCGCTTATTTGTTTATGCTAACCACTTTAGTCAGCGAAGGCTAAACGTGACATAAGGCCCTTCCTCCAATTACAAAAACGACATAAAGAATAACTCGACATACCAAACCATACTGGACCGAAGAATCTTCAACCGCAGTGAAAATAGCCAGAAAAGTAAGACGAGAGTGGACCCACCTCCGTGCCGAAGAAAGCTGGATTAAGTATCAGAAACTACCAACCAGAAGAAGAGTCAAATCAAGAAATCCAAATCAGTTAGATGGAGAGCTATCGTCTCAGAAGTAACAGAAGATCCGACTAAAATCTGAAAACTCGCCAGATGGGCTAAGCAGAGTGCTGAGGGAAATACCAGGACGACCTTTATACCTGACCTCCAGGATTCCGACGGAAATACCTCAACAGAAGATCATGAAAAAGCTAGAGTTATGGCATGTCACTTCTTCCCAAAGCTTTCGCTAGCAGATACTCGGGATATCCCAGGAGCGGAATATCCAGACGAAATCGATACAATATCTAACATAGTTACTCAAGGAGAAATCGAAGAATTAATCGGAAGTTTACCCAAAGAGAATGCCCCTGTATCAGACGGTATACCGAACCAAGTTCTAAAGGAATGTAGGAAGAACCTGAGTAAAACACTAACCTTTCTGTTCAATGTCTATCTCGCAATTGGATACCACCCGATAGGGCTCAAAGAGTCAACCACTGTTGTACTGAGAAAGCCCCAGAAACCGAAATACGATACTCCCGAAGCGTATAGACCAATAGCTCTACTCAATACCATAGGGAAGATCCTGGAAAAGCTGGTAGCTAATCGTCTCTCCAAAGCAGCCGAAAAATTTAACCTTCTCCCTGAAGAGCAGATGGGAGCTAGGCCAATGAGTTCCACAATTTCCGCAGTAGAGCTTCTAACTGAGCAGATCCATATCACTTAGGGTAAAGACAAAAAGTTAGTGGCGTCCCTGCTCATCCTTGATATATCGGGAGCTTTTGACAATGTGTCCCACGAACGATTAATTCATAATCTAAGAGAAAAAAGAATCCAAACGTGGATCAGGCTTTACATAAAGTCTTTTCTAGAGGAAAGGACGACATCTCTAGTGCTAGGGTCATTCAAGGGAGAACGAATATCTACCAGTACGGGGATACCTCAAGGCTACTCATTATCACCAATACTGTTTCTCTTCTTCGTCGGCACACTCCTTCCACTGCTCAACACGAGTTCTTCCTCAGCCGCAGGGTTTGTAGATGATATAATGTTGGAATTTGCCACATTTCTTACGATAATTGGCATTCCTTGCAAATATGAACAACTTTCCTGTATGCTGCACAATACATCCTGTATTCTACATTTTAGTTTCTTTCCGCTGTTGAGATATTCTCTCATACATTTGCATGTGCGGGGTAATATGATACTATATGCAAATACAGTGAGAGATATGGTCACGTTTACTTTGCGACAAATAGGATGGCGTTAATGGTGCGGGGTCAGTACTGTTTTATTCCCCGCACAATGGTTTCGTGGTCAGCTGTGCTGAAGACTTTTCACTGTAGTAATTGTTGTTTGCATACCCACTTTAACTCTAGGATATTCGCACATAAATTCGCGTTTTACATGTAACCTAGAACTTTAATGGAAACAATATTCTTTGAGCTATACTTTCTGCTCCTCTTACTATGAAATCGCAACATATAAATATTCTGACATGGTCACGATCAACCGAGGAAAACTGTCGAGAGTTGGAAAAGAAGCATAAGGTCTGCGAGCAGTGGGCAACAAAGCATTGGGTTAGATTTACGCCCGAGAAGTACCAGCTGATGCACTTCTCACAATCAAGGAAAAATCAAAATCTTAAAGCAACAATCGAAATACAAGATCACACGACAGTCTCGCGGCCTTCTCTCCGCGTCCTCGGAACTTACTTCGATCCAAAGCTAAACTGGGGAGCGCACGTCAGAAGTATACAGCTTAAGGCGGAGACATAGCTCCAGGTAATGAGCAGGTTAACACAGTCTACATGGGGGGCGAAATTTCATAAGGCAAAGCTACTGTATAGCACAATAGTGAGACCGGCATTCACGTATAGGTCCCCGATTTGGGCCGAGGCCGGGCCAGGTGATAAAATACCTGAAAGAATAGTGAAACCCCTTCAAAGCATCCAAAGAAACTGCTTAAAACTAGTCACGGGAGCGTATAAGTCGACTAGCACGAGAGTGCTCGAACACGAAACTGCCACCCTACTGATAGAAATCTACCTGAAGCAGCAAAGACTCCAATACGTTTGCTGCTCGAAGAACAACCCAGTTCAGAAGCTCATACAATCTGCCTGTGGTAATAACAAGCTGCCCAAACGAGGGAGAGAAGACATTCGAGCCAATAACAGGAGATTGGATCTGGCAAACTGGGTGGTAATTTGTGGGGAAGACTAGTCACAAAAATGGCAGAAAGAGGCAGGAAAAGTTGCAGCATACCAAGAATGGGCTAAATCCTGGAAAAATCAAAGACGGCTCCAATTACCTCGACATAAAGCAATCGCTGACCCCGAAACCTGGAGAGCAGTCAAGTTCTATTGTTGAAATACAGGGCTCATCCTATTAATCAGGATTAACATGTGTTCTTTATAATGATTAGACCCACTATCGTAGTATATATGTGGCGAAGCTCCCCGAGCCCTTTATAGAAATTAGTTGAGCCAGTATATTCTTTTCGACATCTACAGTAACCATTCCGGCTACATGTTTTTTTGGCCCAGGCGTCCAGAATATTGCAAGACAATGTAGTGGTGAGATCGGCAGC